GGTGTTCATCTACTACGAAAGAAGTAAGTGCTTTCTTTCCAAGCTTTCTTTTGCACTTTTTAGAGCAAAATAGCTTATGTGGGGTTTTACACACGTGTGCAGAAAAAGCCCTGCCCCAAGGTAGTGTCGGTCTAGATCAGGTGGAGGGACAAGCATCTTTAAAGGTAAAACTGTATTTCTATTATAAAATGTTTTTTAAATATATTTTTTAGCTTTGCCAATCTTCGTGAAAGTCCCCTCATTTGATCTTATGCCAAGGAAAGGGTTAGAGAGGCTGGACAAGATATTTCAGAGCGATGAGAACTGCTTTTTGGGGGCGATCCCTGCATGTTAGCCCTTGTGGGATACGGGCTTTCCTGCTGCACCTTTTAGGAACAGAAATAGGAGAAGGAATATACTGTTTTCTGCCCCACTCAGAGGCTTGGGGGGCATGTCTTTACCCTGTGATCTGTTTTCTGGACTGCTGTAAAGGCCCAGAGAAATAAACACCTGAGCATAAAATAGCAGATCCCCTCGGCTCCGAGCCTTTATAACAACAGGCAGTAGGCGCGTGTCCCTTGGACTAGGTCTCTTGTTAGCAGGAGGGTCCTGTGCAAGGACCGAGTGGATCTCCGGCTGGTTGGAAACGTTTACCCAAGCAGCAGGTTTTGGTGGCCATGGTAGGTGGAGGGATGCCCAACTCTGCAGCTGCATGACAGACCAGTCCAGTGCCAAGCACTTCACGTCTGCCTGTTGAAAGGCAGAAAGTAGCCCGTGCAGGTGGAGGGGTGCCTTCAGCGCTGGAGCCTGGGCCCCAAGTAAGATACGTCTTACCAGTGTCACATATCCCTCACACCCAGGAGTTTCAGCCACACGCCACCCTCCTCTCTTCCTGCGTCTCCGGCCCTGGCAGATGTGCAGGTGAAGGAACAAGGGGATCGGATGCATGATCCCCACCACTGCGCTTCCTGGCAGGACGTGTGATCCTGGGACTGAACAGCAGACCCTGCCATACCACACTGCCAGCACGAGGGGAGCCCACGCACAATCTGATCCCAGGCTCCTCCTGCTCCAGCCAGCAGCAAGCTCCCAGGACAGGGAGCCTCAGCAGCCGACGGAGTTCCCAGCTGCCAGCCACAGCAGGGCCCTTGACTCCAGTGGGCCCAGCACAGGGAGCAGCAGTCAGCTGATCAGGCTCTCAACCTACAAGAACAGAAGAGTCAAGGACTCCAAAGTGGTCTGGAAGCTGGGAGCCCCGGTCAGCCTGGCCACACATTCAGTTAATGGTGTGCTGGATGTCATGACCCAATGATTTTGTGTGTGCTTCGGCACTGCAGGATTATTTCCCGCCACATGGAACTTTCTTTGCACGGTGCAATTCTCAGCTGCAGAGAGAAAACCCCGGTGCAAAAAGTTCCCGCCAGGCGTATGCAAATTTGTGCCCCCTATTGACTGTTTCTAAATTATTCCCACGTGGCAGCTAGCGATTGGCTTGCTAGCCATATAAGAGGCTTGAGCAGTTTCCGCCCAAGCCGGAGATCTCCGAGAATCTCGGGAGCATCCCGAGAGCCCCGATTCCGAGAATTCCGGGAGAAATCCGAGAGAATTCCGGAGAGAATTCCATGATCACTTTGTGGACTTATGCGTAAATCTCTGACCGACCGGTGGTCTGATCAGCTACCAAGAATCTCTCCCCGTCACCGAAAGATCCCGACGTACCCCTACCCTGCACGCTCGTCGGGAGTCATATTTCGGACTCTCATTTCCTTCGTTATCCAGAGCTCTGTTCATTTTGCGGAGCCTCGCAAACTCCGTTTGTGTGTGTCTTTGGTGGAGCCTAGCAAACTCCACGTGTGTTCGTCTGTAACTGCAATGCAAGCAAATCTTTCTGCCTGCACCGCAACCACCTACAGTGTAAGTAAAGTTTTCTTTGTTCAACCGCTACGAGTCCGTGCCTAATTCTAGTCCGTCGTGCCGACTTTCCCCGCCCACGTGCCAGGGCTGCTAGCCACAGCCCCTCGGCCCCGACACTGGAGACACCTCTAGAATTACTACACATTCCTTGTGTAATGACTTTGTGGCCTATTCCTGCTTTTATCACACCATTCGCTGCATGAACGGATCAGGCAAGTCTTTACAAGACGTCATTAACTGGTTATTCACGTCTGAAGTGTAAAGCGTGCCCGGCACCTCTTAGGGGAAGTTGCATACAACTGTAACAGCTGCTGCTGGATTTGAGCAGGGCTCAGGGTCCCTGCAGAGGCAGAGCGGGCAAGTTTGCAGAAAGTTGTTGCTTGCAAGAGCGCACGCATGTTTTTGCTTGGGTCCGGAGGCAGGAGAGGGCAGGGGGCTCCGGCCCGGGGACTCGGCCAGGCTATGAGAAGGAAGGTGCCAGGACCACAACACATGGTGAGGATCCACCCTGCAGCTTGCCTGTGAGCTCCCACCAGTGTGGAGCAGAGAAGTGCAGCTCTTGCCCAGGAGGCGCTGGCAGAGAGCAGGATTTTCTGCAGCAGCACCAGCCATGGCTCCTGTGCTGGCAGTGTGATGGAGAGCGGATGTCTTGTTCCCCCGCGTGCTCCTGCTGGACCGGACTGCAGTGCAAGGTTTACGCTGGGGAGTTGTACTGAGGGTGCCTGTGATTCAATTGGGACGGCGTGTTTCAGTGCATTGATACCTGCCTTCGACAGTTCGATGACCGATATCCTGGTCTGCTTTAACCTCATTCAGACGATGACTGTTTTCATAGATCTTCATAGATTTCATAGACATTAGGGCTGGAAGGGACCTCGGAAGATCATTGAGTCCAGCCCCCTGCCCCAGGGCAGGAAGTCAGCACTGGTCATAGGATCCCAGCAAGATAAGCATCCAAATTGCTCTTAAAGTCGTTCAAAGTAGGTGCACAAACCACCTCCGGTTTTGTAAATAATGAACTGTAAGTAGTTGGACTGCCTGTATCCAGTGCATGGGGAAACCCCCAAGGGGCATCTCACAGAGAGGTGGCCCCAGCCCTAGGGCCAGGAGGTTGACCGAGGCTTTTTGACACTGCAGGACCCTGAATC